CCATTAAGCCATAAACAAGCCACATTATAAGCTTGGATGCAGCGTGTTTTGCAGGGGCCCAAAAAGCCAAGATGGCAGCTGCTGCATGTGCTACACACATGAAAAGGGTTAGACTTCAATTGCCTTGTCACAACTGACATTTTGACTTTTTTGACCCCCATCTTTTGGATACTCATGAATTATTTTGGAAATAAAACTGGGGCGATGGTGGTCAGAACAGACTGAGTATCCCACACAACTCCTGGAAGATTGCCATGGGAACAAGAAGGCCATATAAAATTGGTTCAATAAACAAGCTAAGTTGTATGGTTTCAAATCCAGCCAGCATAGCTTGCCAACCATGATTTGTGACTATGCATGTTACGTTCAGGGGTAGGCAACCCTGGCTCTTTTATGACTCGTGGACTTCAACTCCCAGAATTCCTGAGCCAGCCATGCTGAGGGGAAAGGGAGAGGTTTCCATGCTGAGCCATGCTGGCTCAGGAATTCTGGGAGTTGAAGTCCACGAGTCATAAAAGAGCCAAGGTTGCCTACCCCTGACCTAGCAAGTCACTAAGCGGCAAATAAGACATAACCAATAGGATTGTGTGAAACCAAGCAGCTGGATTAATCCACTGAACCTGGTTTAGTTAATCACTTTGTGGGAACACAACCTGCATATCTAATTAGACTAGGATCATCCAGGTTCCGATCTCTTGAGCTTGACACTTAAACCCGCTTGGGGATTCGGGCATGAGAGTTGCTGGTTAGATTCACACCATACTTAATGCTCGGCTAAAGTGGAATGGGATCGTTTGTGGTTGGAAGCACAGAATAACGGGTGGAAGGGATCTTGGAGGTCTTCTAGACCACTCTGTTGCTCAAGCAGGAGACCCTATATCAGTGGTTCTCAACCTTTCTAATGCTGTGACCCCATAATACAGTTCCCCATGTTGTGGTGACCCCCATATGGGTGTGGCCACCAATAGGGAGTAGGACAGCTAGGGAAAAGGGAAAAAAATGGCGGACAGCGTGGTTTGGTGACCCCCGTGAAATGGTCGTTCGACCCCAAATGGGGTCCCGACCCACAGGTTGAGAACCACTGCCCTATATCATTGTGGACTCTCCAGTCCCTTCTTAAAAACTTCCAGTGATGGAGCACGCACAACTTCCGGAGACAAGACATTCCACTGCTTAATTGTTCTGATAGGAAATTTCTCCTTAGTTCTAGGTTGAATCTTTCCTTGATAAGTTTCCATCTGTTACTTCTTGCTTTGCTGTGAGATGCTTTGGAGAGTAGGTTGTCCCCCTCTTGTTTGTGGCAGCCGCTCAAACACTGGAAGACTGCCACCGATTGCCACTGAAGCTTGCCTCTGAAATCCAGCCCTTCTCACAGAATTTTGTGCGAATCAGACTACCCCATGAATTAAAAATATAGGTTTTTTTGGTTTGGTGATCACACCTTTTATAAACAAATGAATTGCCTTGAAATATTCCAAGTTTAGTGTGTTGCGTTGACACAAACATTTTCGCTTCAGGGGCTGCATTCACACAGCTCATTTCTAATGAATAGAATGGAATAGAATAGAATAGAATAGAATAGAATAGAATAGAATAGAATAGAATAGAATACAATAGAAAATATGGAATGGAATGGAATGGAATACAATACAATACAACACAATACAATAGAAAATATGGAATGGAATGGAATGGAATAGAAAATATGGAATGGAATGGAATGGAATAGAATAGAATAGAATAGAATAGAATAGAATAGAATAGAATAGTTGGAAGGGACCTTGGAGGTCATCTAGTCCAACCCCCTGCTCAGGCAGGAAACCCTATACCATTTCAGACAAATGGTTGTCCAGTCTCTTCTTAAAAACTTCCAGTGTTGGAGCATTCACCGCTTCTGGAGGCAGGTTGTTCCACTGGTTAATTGTTCTAAGTATCAGGAAGTTTCTCCTTAGTTCTAGGTTGCTTCTCTCCTTGATTACTTTCCATCCATTGCTTCTCGTCCTGCCTTCTTGTCCTGCTTTGGAGAACAGCTTGACTCCTTCTTCTTTGTGGCAGCCCCTGAGATACTGGAACACTGCTATCATGTCACCCCTAGTCATCCAGTTACACTTTCTGGCTGTTCTCAAGGCACCAAATCACAACCAGCAAAATGGGCTGGGACGGCACAGGCTGCCGCTGACTCTTTGTAACTGCCTTTGCTAAGCAGGCAGTGTATATTCTTCAACCCAGGTCCAATTCCCCACAGGAAAGCGCATTGCAGAAACCACAGTGATGTGGTTTCTGTGCAAGTACCAGCAAATGTCCCACATATCACCCCGGAGCAAATTGAAAAGCGCAGTCCCCAGGAGACATTGGTGCAAATCGTTCCACCATGACCAGCGGGAACGAAACTCCAGGTAGTCCTCAACTTATGACCTATGGAGCCCCAAACTTCCCTTTCTAAGCCAGACCGTTGTTAAGTGAACATTGCCCCATTTTACGACTTTACTTGCCACAGTTGTTAAGTGAATCGCTGCAGTTAAGTTAGTAACACCACTGTTAAATGAATCTAGCTTCTCCGTTGACCTTGCCTGTTGGAAGGTCACAAAAGGCCCCAGGACACTGCAACCATCTTAGACAGTGATGGTGAACCTTTTAGAGACTGAATGCCCAAATTGCAACCCAAAACCCACTAATTTATCACCGGGTGCCGGGTGGGTGTGGCCCACTGGGTGGGCGTGGCTGTGGTGCTCATGGCAGACTGGGTGGATGGGGCCAAGGTGGGTGTGATCACCTCAATGTTGCTCGTGGGGAGGGACACCTGTGGGGGCCGGGCAGGGTTGGGGGAAATCCAGGGGTCTCTGGCAGGTGGGGCAGTGGGCAGGAGGCTCGTCCTGTGGGGTGAGGCGAGGCAAGGCGAGGCAGGATGGGTTAGCCTTTGTCGCAGGGCAAGGTGAGGCAGGGGCCAGGGCGGCTGCTGCCTGACACCATCGGCCCCCGCACACAGAGGCCAGCGAGCACATGGGTGCTGGGATGCATCCAGCCACATGGACCTCGACGAGTTAGCAGGCGGCTGGTTGAAGAGGAACGGTTGCCATCTCCGTGGCATGGCGTGTGTGCCCACAGAGAGGGCTCTGAGTGCCGCCTCTGGCACGCGTGCCATAGGTTCGCCACCACTGATCTTAGATATATACCAGTTGCCAAGTCTCCAAAATTTGTCCATGTGTTTTTTCCAACCCAACCCTGCCCATCGTCCGAGTTCATAAGGAGACAAAGTATAACCAAAAATTCATGGAGGCCCATCATCCTGCTGCACGTTTTGTTTCAACGGTGGGGCATTGAAGATGGCAAGATCTGGCTGCATAGGCAAGCATCTCTTTCATCACGTTATCATGCAGACATGATAGCAGTGTTCCAGTATTTGAGAGGCTGCCACAAAGAAGAAGGGGGTCAAACTATTCTCCAAAGCACCAGAGGGCAAGACAAGAAACAATGGGTGGAAACTGATCAAGGAGAGAAGCAACCTGGAATTAAGGAGAAACTTCCTAACAGTGAGGACAATCAACTAGTGGAACAGCTTTGCCTTCAGAAATCGTGGGTGCTCCATCACTGGAGGTTTTTATGAAGAGATTGGACAGCCATTTGTCTGAAATGGTATAGCGCAGGGGTAGGCAACCTTGGCGCTTTTATGCCTCATGGACTTCAACTCCCAGAATTCCTGAGCCAGCATAGCTGGCTCAGGAATTCTGGGAGATGAAGTCCATGAGGCATAAAAGCGCCAAGGTTGCCTGCCCCTGGCTATAGCGTCTCCTGCTTGAACAGGGAGTTGGATTAGAAGACCTCCAAGATCCCTTTCAATTCTGTTATTCTGTTATTCATGAGTTCCTACACTACATGAAGCCATACCTGTTCTTTCTATAGCCTTCTAATAGTTACAAAGGCTAAGCACCTAACTGCTCAGCCTTTGTAGATGAGCTGGTTGTTCTCCAATGCTTTTTACAGTGATATTATTTCTTTAAAAAAACAAAAATAATTCTTGCAAGATCCTGAAATCTCACCAATGTTGCGCAGGGGGCTGGACTAGAAGACCCTCTAGATCAGTGGTTCTCAACCTTTTTAATGCCATGACCCCCAACCGGTCGTAAGTCGAGGACTACTCAACTGGTGCAGCACCATTTGCAGAATGGGACTTTTGGCGGGCTCAGCAGGACACAGACAGCCTGGACAATTCCTATTGGCTTTTGAAAGCCAATAGAATTAGACTCTATTCAAGAGAGTCTATTCTATTGGCTTTCAAAAGCCAATAGAATAAAAGGGAGTAGCACAGCTAAGAAAAAGGGGGAAAAAATGGCAGACTGCATTGTTTGGCGACCCCCGTGAAATGATCGTTCGACCCCAAATGGGGTCCCAACCCACAGGTTGAGAACCACTGCTCTAGATAGTCACTTGTCTGAAATGGTATAGGTCAGTGATGGCGAATCTTTTAGAGACCGAGTGCCCAAACTACAACCCAAAACCCACTTATGTATCGTCGGGTGCCGGGTGGGCGTGGCCCAATCGGGTGGGTGTGGCCAATCGGGTGAGTGCGGCCCATTGGATGGGTGTGGCTGCAGTGGTAACAGCAGACTGGGTGGGACTAAAAAGTTCAATCAATTCCAACTTTGCGAGATTTTGTTTTCCCGCGAGAAGTTGAAATTGATTGAACCTTTTTTCTTTTTTTTGCACACAGCAACAGAGGCCTGAAGTGAAAAAGTTTTATAAAACCCAGCTGAAGGCCTAGGACTGGGGCGACAGCGCACGTGCCCACAGAGAGGCCTCTGAGTGCCGCCTGTGGCACGCGTGCCATAGGTTCGCCACCACTGGTATAGGTTCTCCTGCTAGAATGGGGGCTGGACTAGAAGACCTCCAAGGTCCCTTCCAGCTCTATTCTGATTCCGATTTTGGAGATGCTGCAACGGTCATAAGTGTGAAAAACAAGTCATAGGTCACTTTTTTTTGGTCAGTGCCCCTCTAACCTGGAACGGCCACTAAACGGATGGCTGTATGTCGAGGACTACCTATACGCTCCGGTATTTTGACCAGAGCTGCGAGGCAGCGGCGGCGGCCAGCGTGGGCGGGATGACCGCGTGGAGAGGGCGGGGAGAGTCTCTGCAGGAGTCCCGCCCCGTCCCGGCCAGACCAGGCAGAGCGACGCCGCCTTATCCTTGCCCAGTGTCGCTTGGCTTGCTGGCTGATCGCACCTGCTCGCTCAGGGAGCCGCGACCTGTCCGGGGTCCCGCGCGGCGGCTGCCCCGCACCTCTTTCCCCCGCGACACACGAATTCTGCGCTGTGGTTTCCACGCGGGTCCAACCTGCGTCCAAACTCGCCTTTCCCAGGTAAGCGCTCGCCGCGCCGCGCGTGTGGTTGCGCGGGAAGGCACCGCTTGGCTTTAAGGGCGTCTTCCCCGCGGGCGCGTCCCGATCCTGAGCCTGCTTCTCGGGGAGCCGCGCGATCCCCAACTCCTTTGAGCCGCGATCTTCCCCGAAAAGGCGTTTGGCTTTCTAACGGTTAGCGAGGGAGCGAGTTTAGGGGCGCAGCGGCGACTTCCATGGGTTTAAGGGACGGGACCGGTGCTACCTTGAGGACTAGTCACTTGTCTTGACATCCAGGTCAGCCCGGCGGGACCTTGGTTCTGTTGCTCTTTTCGGAGTGTTTGCCATTTTTCTCTTCCTTATCCCGCGTGGATATCGAAGGGTTGATTCTAGCTTCTGGGGAAGGGCAAGACCCATCTATCTGTTGCTTCTCGGGATCCCGACTGCGTGGTGTTTATTCCATCCCTCTAGGTTTTTTTATTTTTTTAATATTTTTTTATTTTACATATACCGTAATACTTATCAGATGTTAACATACATTCCCTCCACACTCACATACAAGATACTTTTAACAAAATGAAATAAATACATACACATGACTTTTGGTGTTGCTCACCCATTTCCTCTTTCACCGTATCCACACTCCTTCTTCTCTACCTTCTTTCTCCCTTTCTTCTCTTCCCTACTTCCCTCTTCTTCCTCTCCTCTCCTTCACTCTCCTCCCCTTTCCTCTTCTCCTCCAACCTTCCTACTTCCTTCTCCCCTCCTTTACTCTTTTCTCTCTCCTCTCCTTTCTTCCCTCTCATCCAGATACAAGCTCAAGGTCCTATAGGTTTTTTTTAAAAGACATAATCTGCTACATGAGGATAGATTTGATGAAGTAGCCTCTGTCAATGAATTCATTATTTTAACCTGCTGCCTCTTTTTTCCCACTCCTGTTACTGTTCTATTGTAGGTTAGTTTGGAAACTCAGTGGCATGCTCCAACAGCACGCTGTTAAATTTAGGAATAATATAACAACAGTGACGATAATAATTTAATGACACCCGTTTAAAATGTGTGGAATCCTATTGATGCGTAAAGGTTATGGTGGAGATAAAGTCTCCAAACTGGGCTGATATTGACACTGGAGTTGGCCAGCTAATAAATTCAGAATAATAATAATCCAACTGTGATTGGATCCCTCGGAGCAATACCTAAAGGATTCCCTCAATATTGGGAAATTTTGAAGTTATTGGACTTGAACACTCTAATTTTACAAAAAAAATAAAAACCCACACCTTGCTAGGAACTAGCAAATATTATCTGAGCCGTTCTTAATCTTTGGTTAGGATTTGGATTATCAAACTCGCACCAGTGTTAGATGTGAATTTAGTCCTAGATTATCAATAATAACAACAACAACAACAATAGTTCTTCAGAAGAACTCAATGCATATGAAGGCCAGCACCAGCTAAAAATCTGGCAGCTGTGACTCCCATTGCTATTTATATAATAACTCGAAGAAACTAATAATTCCTTTTTTAGAAATGTCATTTGCCATTCCTCCATTGCTTCCTTCCCACAGGGAAGTTTGGATTCATAGACAAAGAAACTAGATTTGTTCAATTTTGCCCTCTGTTCATCAAAACAAGCATTTCTTTGTGTCCTATTGATTTTACTGGTGACTCAAACAGCAAAGTCGAAGGCTGACCACACTGGAAAGAGAGTTACCTAAAAAAAAAATAAAAAAAAATGACACTTCTGTGTGTTTTGTTCTTGGTGTTTTTGCAAACCTGATTATTGCTTTATATTCTCTGGGCAGATCGTGCTCACAAACCCACAGTATTTTTTAGCAACCAAAGAAGGATCAAATGAAACTGCCAATCGTATAATTGTTCAATTCTGTCTTTCTGGTACGTTACAAGTAGTCCTGGACACAACTACAGTTAGGATCAAAATTTCCGTTGCTAAGCAAGGCAGCTGTTAAATGAGTGATGGCCGATTTTACCACCATGGTGGTTAAGCTTCCCCCGTTGACTTTGTTTGTCGGGAGACGGCTGGGAAGGTCACAAGCAGTGATCACACGACCCTGTGGCGCTACCACCATTGTAAACACAAGCACCCAAATTATGATCATGTGACCATGGGGACGCTGCCAGAATCATAAGTGCGAGGACCAGTTAGTTGTAAGTCACTTTTTTCAGTGTCCTTGCAACTTTGAACAGTTTGCTGAACGAATGGTTGTAAGTCAAGAACTACCTATAGTTAGACTGATTCAAAATGAGATGGTTCTCACACTCTTTATCTTTTGCAATTCTATCCGTAATCCTAGCTTGTCTGGATTCTACTTGATATCTCTGTGAGGCAGATGGGATTGAAAAAAAATTGGTCCTGAGTGATAGGCCCTCATGCCTCTGTTCCTGGGGAGTGAGCAAATGAGTATGTATGACTTGCGTGTTAGAAGTTCAAGGTGTAGATTCAGCCTTCAGGGTTAGTTAGCAAAAACCTCATCTTGAAGAAATGTCCCTCAGAGTGCTCATTGTCCCCCTGTGGAACTCATTGCCACCAGACATCATAATAGCTACTGACTCAGAAGGCTTAAAAGAGATGGGATTGGATCATGGGGTGGGATGGGAAGACAATGACAAGCTCACAACACAAGCCATAAGACTTAGAGACTTACATCTGATGTCAGGAGGCAAATAGAAAGAGAGAGGGTTGTATCACAATGTTGTGAGGTGTCTCCCTATTTTTTTTGTCACTGAGATTTTTATTAGACATCTCTGGACAACTTTAAGACCTGTGGATTGTGGACCTTTGGACCTGTTGGCTGGAGAATTCTGGGAGTTGAAGTCCACAAAGTTCCAAGATTGGACACCCCAGGCCAACATCCTAGATTGTGCGGGAACAAGAATGAGGAAGGGCTACCTCTTCTGTTTCTGGACACCCTGCAGGCAACTGGTTGACCTGTGTGATTAAGTAAAATACAGTTTCTCAACCTTGGCTGGGGAATTCTGGGAGTTGAAGTCCATACATCTTAACGTTGCCAAAGTCGAGAAACATTGAACTAGACACTGCACTAAAATGGCTCTAGGTCCGATCCATCAACTTAGTCCACAGGATCTTTCGGTGTGTGATATATTGGTGGGATTGCATCTACTTAGTTAATGTTTACCCATTCTAGACAGAGGATACTTTGGGGAATGTGTTTTCCCTATGTTGCTAGGGGAAAAAATAAATCAGGATATTCAAATTACAGTTGGTACAGAGACATACCCCCATGTTTTTGAGAATTGCAGAATTCCTCACCTAAGAGAAATGCATCCTTTTGGATAGTAGTGTTGTTTGAAAACAGGCAGTCCAGCTCACGGTGCTCCTTGCTTGGGTACAACTTTGCTTGTTTTCACCGACTGAACTTTTAGAGCAGGGGTCTTCAAACTTGGCCCTTTTATGACTTTTGGACTTCAACTCCCAGAATTCCTCAGCCAGCATTACTCTCTCTGCTCCTTCTTTAATAATTGTGCATTTCTTTCCTCTGCAATGCCATTTCATGTTTCAGGGGCCATTCTTCAGATTATTTCTGCATTATCATTTGATAGAGAATTCCTTTTGGTTTTCAAAGTATGTTGGCTTGCCACACCTATTATTTTTTTTAACTATGTATGAAGGGAGTTGCATAAATTCAAAGCCAAGGTACCACCCTTCGTGTGTTTTCAGAAATATGTTTGCTTTCTGGCATTTACTACTGGGTTGGTGAAGGTTTGCAGACATTAAAAAAAAAAATTCTGGCAACTCCCAATCTGATATATAATTTTCAGTTTTGCTTTTACAGTGGAAGCTTTATAACAGAAGAGAGGATGCCACAGTAAGTCACTGTGCTGATTCAGGAAAGAGTTTGTAAGGTAGGACTAGGAAAAATTCAGATGCCAAGAATTTAGACACTTTGCTTTGCTTCCTGCCCCCTCCTAAAAATGAAGTTAGATACCCAGGAATTATTTGTCCCAGCCTTGCCAATAAGATTTTAAGGTGATTGAAAAGAGTCGCTGCTTCTGCAAAATGAAGAGGTGGCTTAAAAAAATAAATACCACCTCAGTTTGACACCTGATGAATAAATAAACCCATGCATTTTTCTTGATAAAAAAAACATGGAAGCAGTAGTGGACAATCCCTTATATATGAGCCAGCACTGTGCTGCAGCTGCTAAAAAAGCCAACACAGTGCTAGACTGCATTAAGCGAGGGATAGAATCAAGATCACGTGAAGTGTTAATACCACTTTACAATGCCTTGTTAAGGCCACACTTGGAACACTGCATCCGGTTTTGGTCACCACGATGTAAAAAAGATGCTGAGACTCTAGAAAGAGTACAGAGAAGAGCAACAAAGATAATTAGTGGACTGGAGGCTAAAATATACAAAGAACAGTTGCAGGAATTGGGTATGTCTAGTTTAATGCAGAGAAAGATGAGGGGGAACATTATAGCCGTGTTCCAGTATCTCAGGGGCTGCCCCAAAGAAGTGGGAGTCAAGCTATTTTCCAAAGCACCTGAAGGAAACTAATCAAAGAGAGAAGCAACCTAGAACTAAGGAGAAACTTCCTGATAGAACAATTAACCTGCCTCCAGAAGCGGTGAATGCTCCAACACTGGACATTTTTAAGAAGAGACTGGACGGCCATTTGTCCGAAATGGTATAGGGTTTCCTGCCTGAGCAGGGGGTTGGACCAGATGACCTTCAAGGCCTCTTCCAACTGTATTATTTTGCATTCTGCAAATCTGTTGACATTTTCTTTGATTCCTTTTGGATTCCTATTTGGCATTCAAATGATTTGGAACTATTATTTTAAAAAAACATTGAGCGATTCCAGCCAGATATACTAGTAGTCCCCTCTTAATAACCACTCATTTAGCAAGAGTTCAGATCTCTCCAGAGTTATTTAAGACCCATTTTTGAAGTTCTGATGACCACAATCTTCCTCAGTGGTCATGTGGATTGCCTTTTGGGCATTTGGCAACTGGCTTGCATTTATGGCTGTTTGCAGTG